TCCCAAAAAATTGTTATTTATTCACTATTTTTCAATCTAACATTGCGTCGTTAAGAAGTCAAATAAACCTCTTGTCTCATAAACACTGTTTTTTCTTGATATTATCAACTAATAATATTTTTCCCATTTGGCAAACAATCGAAACAATGTAGTACACATCTAGCTCTAATTTTAAGTATTTTCGGAGCTTGCGACATTAATCCTGTTAAATCGCTAATTTTGAATATATATGCCTTGAAATTACTTTTTTCGGGGTGTTTGAGGTATTTGAATTATGTCATTTGTATTGGTCATAGTATTAAAAAGCTAACACCATTGAAGCATTTCAACATTGCATTCATAAAGCCGCTGGAGATCGGCTAATTATATACTGTTCCAATATTGGTATTTAATTTAATTATTTTAACAATAATAATAATAATTCCGAGATGGGTTTTCACACATTCTTAACTTGCAACTAGATCTCGCGTTATATCCCATGCCAACATTTGATGGTTGAAAGAAAATGTACAAAATATTTCCTGTTTCGTATACGCAACTTAATTTTGCTTTTTATTTTAGGTTAATGCCACACAGATGGCATTGGGTCTAGGCCAAATTGATATAGAAGGCCATCGTGTTGGTATGATGATAAGTGGTCGCACCCTCCCTTGCTTCCAGCCCTATGATACCCGACCTCGTGCCGGCGGTTATTGTTTCTATCGCTTCCTAACCTCAATGCCTCCTGCAGAACTCTTTTTCCACTCCATGGCTGGTCGTGATGGTCTTATTGATACTGCTTGCAAGACATCTCGTTCTGGTTACCTTCAAAGATCCGTTACCAAACATCTTGAAGTGAGTTCTTTTGTAATATTGTTGATAGTATCTCGCGAACCTACTATCTTCCAGAACGATAATAGAATACGACAGCCTTTCCATAAATCAGAAGAGTTGGGTCGAAATACAAATATATTCGATGATTGCTGAGAAAATCAGAAGGAAATAGGGGAACTGGTTATGAGCGTCTGCCTAGTGTGTGTGGAATCAAAAATGAGGAATATAGGTTAAGATACACAAAGTAAGGTTCTCCAATTTTCGTCCCTTTTCGAGTCACTATGACAATTGAAATTTTCTTCGTTTTACGCCTCATCCCATGCGTCCCAAGCATCTCTCGAGCAGTTCGAATGGGGCTAGCAGGCCATATCTATGCTGTAATAAATGGTTAAAGGTGTATTCTTCGATTATTATAACTGATTTCCAATTATTCGTGATTGATGATTGGTTTGACAGTGTTGGCCCCTCGATCGCCCGTTTTACGCATTTCCGATTTACACCTATCGAGAGTTAAATTATCGATTTTTGAAAGTTTCTAATTTCTCACAACTCGCCCACTTGTTAACTTAGGGTTCTCTGATCCCAATGTCAATCGATTAGTCGTCGGTAACTTTTGTCATGGCTCCTCGACCATGTCTTTGTGCAATTCCTCTACTAAATATTTTCCCACTGCCCTTAATGATTTAACTACTTATCGTTTTAATTATTATTTTACTACTTTATGCACAAAATTCTAATCACCTCTTCCAAAATTATAACTATCTCACGTAATTCTTACCTCAGGCTATTTTTGCGAGAAAGTCATTAGCGCAAAAATGGCAGTTTGGTGGGCATAACCTCATTTTCCTGAAGATCAAATAATGAGTCATATTTCACCAATTTGACTTTGTAGTTTTAACCTTGTGAGGTTTGGCATGGTTGTTATTTCTACTGGGGTGAATTCAATTCTGTCTGTGTAATCCAATTATAGTGCCCCCCGTCCCCTCTCAGTTCACCTCTAGGCTTCATAGATGGGAGCCTGGTTGTTATCGTATCGCTATAAGGCAAGCACCGTGATAATAAGCGTGTGAGGACAAACGCGGTCAATAATCCCTATGACATTTAAGCAAAATAGAAAGTCCTTGGCAATTATTAAATTAATAACTATAGGGGATTTATTTATATCAAATGGCAGGCGTTCTGATAGTTATCATTAGCCCTTTAGTTGACTTTAGGCTTCACAGAGGGGAAGAAACATCAAAGTGAAAAAAATGTCGAGAAGGGGGGTTCGGAACAAATGAGTGTTTCAAACATGTAAAAGAGAGACAAAAAGGTAGAAAAAGCGAGGTGAGTACTGTGGAAGTGGTGGAATATGACATCCAGTGGGGTGATGGTAGGTTGAAGTCAGAAGTCAACTGCCAATTAATGGGCTTTTTTGCCTTATGAGCATACGTTATCCAGGGTGCACCTTGTGGAGGTAAGTCGCACACCTTGGTGAGATTGACATCAACTGTTGAAAGGCCATTTCCATTAAAACAATAGAATACGGTCATTGCTCATGCATAAGGATTAGCTCCTAAAATCCCTGGGGTATGAAATTCCTTGAAGGTTTGATTTGATAACTGCTGCTGCCACAAAATTTCACTTCATTCAAACTTCTACATATTTTGTGCTTGAGGTAGCTCGATTTAACAATAATGATTTATATTTCGACTCATTTCAATTAATACTAAATCTGTAGTGTTATTTAGTTAATTTGGCTTTTTTCAACTTAATTTTTTCTTAATGATATAGAAATAATTTGAACTTTCTGAATTGAGAATCAAATGAATTAAAATCTGCGCTTCAAATTGCATTAGGGACAATGTCACGCTAAAACAAAGCACGCGAAATGAGCGAGAATTGCCAGTGATGGGTCTTGGGTGTTCAGCTTCAATAATATCTCCAACCCATCAATGTGCCCCAGAACGAGTCTGACAGCGTAGAAGAAACAAGGCTTTTTGCATTTCCCTATGCTTAGAGGTCAAATTGGTGTCAACGCAAGCTGTAAACATCCTTAAGTCTTATTCTCCTCTCTGCAAGCAGTGTAGACAACATTTCTGTTTAATTCAATTTGCCTCCGGAAAAGAATATCTACCGATCATTTTTGCTTTTGTCCGCAATGTTATAAGCTTCACTGGGATTGGTAATCTGTCTATTATGAGATATTTCGTTTGATATAATACAAGATATAAATAGCACCAAATTAAATTAACCCATGACCACAGCTTTGCTTACCATTTTTCATGTAACTGTCTATCTTAAGCACACTGCCACCCCATTTGATTTGACATTATCTTTAATGAAAATCGAGGAAATTTCTTAAAATTTCATATATATATTTTCAATAAAAAACCGATTTCCATATTTACAGGAGCTGGAATATTTTTGCGATACAAACACCGGTTTGTAGAGCTGAAAGACAACTTAAATTTGTTGTGTTTGAGTTAAGGAGATGCGTGAAACTGTGGTATGAGGAACAATGCACGGTATCGCAGATGTATCAGTGCGTTCAGTTTCAGTTAATGAATCGCCATGGACGACGTAAAAGGTATTAGTCGGAATCTCTTGCCCTGATTCCCTTCTCTTCCAATGCTCTAATTGATCAGTCAAAACAGTACCATTACTTGTGTTATGACTAGTAAGTACAGTCAGTGGAACCAGCATAATTGGTGAAGGCAAGGATTCGTCTGTTCTGTTAGACATCCTACAAACTTGAGTCGTCTTTGGTCGATAGGAGCCTACGTAAACAAGGGATTCGTTTGTACATCTTGCTTGAATTCTTCTCTGATTTCTCCAACGTCGAAGATAGAAATAAGCCATAGTCACGAAAATGCAAACAATGAAAAAAACTATGCCAATGACAATCGCAAACCATATTTTCAAATTGGCAGGTTTTTGCTGCTTGGCGTTGTCCACTGTGGTGCCCGTCTGCGGGTTAACTGAACCAATCTCATCAACGAAATCGGAGAGGAGTATATTTTCCTGGACACTGTACTGAGTGGACATAATTGAAATCTTAATTTGAATCATTTGATCCACCATGAGTATGGGTGCCGAAACATTGAC